TATGGAGGGCTGGATAGGGAAGGCTGTGCCTCCCCAAACAGCCTGGCCTCCACCCCCTCCCACTTTCCGCCCCGACTGCCCCCCTCAGAATCCCGAACCCGTCCAATCCCCCGTGCTCCTTGTCCCCTGACCGCCCCCTCCCAGAACCCCGCACCCCTAACCGCCTCCCGGGACTCCCATGCCTATCCAACCCCCTCTGTCCCCATCCCCTGACTGCCCTCTGGGACCTCCTGCCCCTTATCCAACTCCCCCGCTCCCGCCCCCTTACCATGCCGCTCAGAGCAGCAGGAGTTCATAGCCCCACCACCCAGCCAGAGCATTTAAAGACATTTAAAAAATGTGGTGTTTTAAGAAGGGAGTTGGCTTCTGGTCTCTGTAGAGTGGAGTTAACAATTGTGACCAGAGCAGTCATTGTCTGGCATTGTGGGACAGCTGCTGGAGATCTGTTAGGCTACGTCACACAGCATCTGCACTTGCTCCGCCTCGACCTCTGCAGCTCAACGCCATCCAGGGAAGTGGTTCTACTGCATCACCTTAACGGGGTGCTTGTGTCACCTGGGGACAAATTTAAGTGTAGACGTACACACAAATAGGTTGACACAAGGCGACTTACATTGACTTAACTTTGTAGTGTAGACCGGGTCTTGAGTTACATTTGAAAATAGGACTTAAACTCCTGAGTCACTTAGGCACTTTTGAAAATTTTACCAGTTATGGTCAGTGTTCCCTCTAATTTTTCCCACATATGTGTGGAATGAATTTTGTTATGTGCACCAATATGGAGATGATGTGTCACACATCACCTCCATATTGGTGCACATAACAAAATTCATGTGGCGGGGTCGGGCTGAAGGGTTTGGAGTGTGGGGAGGGGGCCAGAGGGTTGGGTTGCAGGGTGGTGAAGTCTACGCTGGAGGTGCAGGCTCTAGGGTGGGGCTGGGGATGAGAGGTTTGGGGTGCAGTGGGGCTCCCTGGGGGTGCAGTGAGGAGAGAGGACTTCCCCTGCCTCCCTCAGCTGTCTCTCCCCACAGCAGCACCTGGGCAGGGCTAGGCTGGGCTCAGGGAGCATCTCTTCCTGCCGCAGCCCTGAGCGTCTGCACGGAATAGGCAGCTGCGCGGCCGCAGAGCTCAGAGGGAACTTAGGTTGTTGTGTCTGTGATCAGTTTGATCACTCTTGTTGCTGGCCTGTTAATTTATTTTCCTCCATAGTTTACTAGTTGTAACAGCAAAATTTTGGGAAGTCATTCAGTTTGAAAATACGCACATGACTTAATTTTTTTAACATAACACTGAAAGGAACATGGCTGATTTAGGGTTTTTCTACATAGGGACACTCAGGAAAGCTAAGTCGAATTAATTAAAGGTGTGAAGTAAAAACACATTAAAGGGCATTAAACCCCTGTGTGGATACTCTCATTCAGAAGTTTTCTGTAGCTGAATCCCAAAGGGATTTAACTAATGTGCTTTCATTTCACACCTTTAATTAATTCAATTTAGCTTTCTTCTGAGTATTCTGTGTAGGCATGCCCCCTTAGAAATCACATATCTGAACATTTCTTCGCCGTCATTGTTAGAAATAGTGGCAAATGTACACTTTAATCCAGTCAAAGTAGTTTAAAAAATTCTGGAAAAGCAGTTAGAGTAGGCTAATAATTTAAAGAGGGCTTGTTAAATTATAAAGAAGTTCAGAGTGTATAGGCCATGTGGGAATGATACCGATGTGTGAGGGAATAGGAACTGAAGAGCTGGTGATTTGGGGGTGCAGGGTCTGGAAAGATTTGGGGCAGCAGGTTGTATTGTGTTAGGGGTACTTCTCAGGAGAAGGTTTCATTTTCAATACCGACACTCTCTACTGAATCCATCTAGCTCACAAACGTTCCCTCAACTCATTTGATTGTCTAGTCTCACTGCTGTGGCACTTCCCCTCTCCCGTTTACCTTGTAGAATGGCCTCAAGGGCTTGGCTACCTGACCTTTTTCAGTTAGTAGTAAGAATTAATATTCTGTGCTTCAGAAAATTTCTATTTTTTTTTTTTAATTTGTTTTAACTCCTTAAGTTTTCTCCCTCCCTTGGCCCTTAGGAGCAATATGAACAGGAAGATTTTTTGATTAAGCCCAGTGACAATCTGATCATTTGTGGAAGAGTTGATAAGGACCACTGCAGTCTGGAGGTTCACAGTGAGTAAACAATATTTGGTCATAAAAGCAGGCCTAGAAAATACTCTGCTTATCCAGTCTGATCCCTATGGCTTTGCAGGACTGTTCCCTCTGTTCTCCATTTATCCTGGCTTTTGAATAGATGGTGGCATCTGGCACAACTACATTTCTTGTGCTCTTACCTCTGTAAAATAACTGTATAACAAACGCTAATGAACCCTGACCTATATAAATATACCGAGAACCTGTACAGTGAAACATCAGCCAGACAATAATACTCTTATCATTCTTATTTTATGAATACACATAAGCAGCAAGTGCCTCTTATATACCAGATGTTTTAAAATAGTCTCTCAAACACAAATGAAGATGATATAGGGTGTGCAAGGCATAAACTGAATCAGTCTGTACTTGATGTAGATAAGAATGTTATTCTTTGGTCTGTTGAATTTGTCACCTAAAGTAAATGTTCTGTGGTGCCTATCGTTA